TTCTTACTGTGAGACTGGCCAACGTATAGTTCTTACAGTGAGACTGTTATAACGTATATGGTTATTACTGTGAGACTCGCCTAACGTATAGTTCTTACAGTGAGACTGGCCAACGTATAGTTCTTACAGTGAGACTGGCCTAACGTATATGGTTATTACTGTGAGACTCGCCTAACGTATAGTTCTCACGGCGAGACTGGTCTAACGTATAGTTCTTACAGTGAGACTGGCCTAACGTATAGTTCTTACAGTGAGACTGGCCTAACGTGTATGGTTATTACTGTGAGACTCGCCTAACGTATAGTTCTCACGGCGAGACTCGTCTAACGTATAGTTCTTACTGTCACACTGGCCCAACGTATAGTTCTTACTGTGAGACTGGCCTAACGTATAGTTCTTACTGTGAGACTGGCCTAACGTATAGTTCTTACCGTGAGACTTGCCTAACGTATAGTTCTTACCGTGAGACTTGCCTAACGTATAATTCTCACGGCGAGACTGGTCTAACGTATAGCTCTTACAGTGAGACTGGTCTAACGTAGAGTTCTTACTGTGAGACTGGCCTAACGTATAGTACTTACGGTGAGACTGGCCTAACGTATAATTCTTACAGTGAGACTGGCCTAACGTATAATTCTCATGGCGAGACCGGTCTAACGTATAGCTCTTACAGCGAGACTGGCCTAACGTTTACTTCTTACTGTGAGACTGGCCTAACGCATAGTTCTTACTGTGAGACTGGCCAACGTATAGTTCTTACTGTGAGACTTGCCTAACGTATATTTCTCACGGCGAGACTGTTATAACGTATAGTTCTTACAGTGAGACTGGCCTGACGTATAGTTCTTACTGTGAGACTTGCCTAACGTATAGTTCTTACAGTGAGACTGGCCTAACGTATAGTTCTTACAGTGAGACTGGCCTAGCGTATAATTCTCACGGCGAGACTGGTCTAACGTATAGCTCTTACAGTGAGACTGGCCTAACGTTTAGTTCTTACTGTGAAACTGGCCTAACGTATAGTTCTTACTGTGAGACTGGCCAACGTATAGTTCTTACTGTGAGACGTGCCTAACGTATAGTTCTTACAGTGAGACTGGCCTAACGTATAGTTCTTACTGTAACCTGGGCTAACGTATAGTTCTTACAGTGAGACTGGCCTAACGTATAGTTCTTACTGTGAGACTGGCCTAACGTATAATTCTCACGGCGAGACTGGTCTAACGTATAGCTCTTACAGTGAGAATGGCCTAACGTATAGTTCTTACTGTGAGACTGGCCTAACGTATAGTTCCTACTGTGAGACTTGCCTTACGTATAGTTCTTACTGTGAGACTGGCCAACGTATAGTTCTTACACTGAGACTGGCCTAACGTATAGTTCTTACAGTGAGACTGGCCTAACGTGTAGTTCTTACTGTGAGACTGGCCTAACGTATAATTCTCACGGCGAGAATGGTCTAACGTTTAGCTCTTACCGTGAGACTGACCTAACGTATAATTCTCACGGCGAGACTGGTCTAACGTATAGCTCTTACCGTGAGACTGGCCTAACGTATAGTTCCTACTGTGAGACTGGCCAACGTATAGTTCTTACTATGTGACTGGCCTAACGTATAGTTCTTACTGTGGGTCTGGCCTAACGTATAATTCTCACGGCGAGACTGGTCTAACGTATAGTTCTTACGGTGAGACTGGTGTAACGTATAATTCTTACGGTGAGACTGGTGTGACGTATAGTTCTGACGGTGAGACGCGTCTGACGTATAGTTCTGACGGTGAGATGGGTCTGACGTCCAGTTCTTACTGTGAGACTGGCCAACGTATAGTTCTTACAGTGAGACTTGCCTAACGTATATGGTTATTACTGTGAGACTCGCCTAACGTATAGTTCTCACGGCGAGACTGGTCTAACGTATAGTTTTTACTGTCACACTGGCCCAACGTATAGTTCTTACTGTGAGACTGGCCTAACGTATAGTTCTTACTGTGAGACTGGCCTAACGTATAGTTCTTACCGTGAGACTTGCCTAACGTATAGTTCTTACTGTGAGACTTGCCTAACGTATAATTCTCACGGCGAGACTGGTCTAACGTATAGCTCTTACAGTGAGACTGGTCTAACGTAGAGTTCTTACTGTGAGACTGGCCTAACGTATAGTACTTACAGTGAGACTGGCCTAACGTATAGTTCTTACAGTGAGACTGGCCTAACGTATAATTCTCATGGCGAGACTGGTCTAACGTATAGCTCTTACAGTGAGACTGGCCTAACGTTTAGTTCTTACTGTGAGACTGGCCTAACGTATAGTTCTTACTGTGAGACTGGCCAACGTATAGTTCTTACTGTGAGACTTGCCTAACGTATATTTCTCACGGCGAGACTGTTCTAACGTATAGTTCTTACTGTGAGACTGGCCTAACGTATAGTTCTTACCGTGAGACTGGCCTAACGTATAGTTCTTACTGTGAGACTGGCCTAACGTATAGTTCTTACTGTGAGACTGGCCTAACGTATAGTTCTTACAGTGAGACTGGCCTAACGTATAATTCTCACGGCGAGACTGGTCTAACGTATAGCTCTTACAGTGAGACTGGCCTAACGTATAGTTCTTACTGTGAGAATTGGCCTAACGTATAGTTCCTACTGTGAGACTGGCCCAACGTATAGTTCTTACTGTGAGACTTGCCTAACGTATAATTCTCACGGCGAGACTCGTCTAACGTATAGTTCTTACCGTGGGACTGGCCTAACGTATAGTTCTTACTGTGAGACTGGCCAACGTATAGTTCTTACAGTGAGACTGGCCTAGCGTATAGTTCTTACTGTGAGACTGGCCTAACGTATAATTCTCACGGCGAGACTGGTCTAACGTATAGCTCTTACCGTGAGACTGGCCTAACGTATAATTCTCACGGCGAGACTGGTCTAACGTATAGTTCTTACAGTGAGACTGGCCTAACGTTTAGTTCTTACTGTGAGACTGGCCTAACGTATAGTTCTTACAGTGAGACTGGCCTAACGTATAGTTCTTACAGTGAGACTGGCCTAACGTATAATTCTCACGGCGAGACTGGCCTAACGTGTAGTTCTTACCGTGAGACTGGCCTAACGTATAGTTCTTACTGTGAGACTGGCCAACGTATAGTTCTTACAGTGAGACTGTTATAACGTATATGGTTATTACTGTGAGACTCGCCTAACGTATAGTTCTTACAGTGAGACTGGCCAACGTATAGTTCTTACAGTGAGACTGGCCTAACGTATATGGTTATTACTGTGAGACTCGCCTAACGTATAGTTCTCACGGTGAGACTGGTCTAACGTATAGTTCTTACAGTGAGACTGGCCTAACGTATAGTTCTTACAGTGAGACTGGCCTAACGTGTATGGTTATTACTGTGAGACTCGCCTAACGTATAGTTCTCACGGCGAGACTCGTCTAACGTATAGTTCTTACTGTCACACTGGCCCAACGTATAGTTCTTACTGTGAGACTGGCCTAACGTATAGTTCTTACTGTGAGACTGGCCTAACGTATAGTTCTTACCGTGAGACTTGCCTAACGTATAGTTCTTACCGTGAGACTTGCCTAACGTATAATTCTCACGGCGAGACTGGTCTAACGTATAGCTCTTACAGTGAGACTGGTCTAACGTAGAGTTCTTACTGTGAGACTGGCCTAACGTATAGTACTTACGGTGAGACTGGCCTAACGTATAATTCTTACAGTGAGACTGGCCTAACGTATAATTCTCATGGCGAGACTGGTCTAACGTATAGCTCTTACAGCGAGACTGGCCTAACGTTTACTTCTTACTGTGAGACTGGCCTAACGTATAGTTCTTACTGTGAGACTGGCCAACGTATAGTTCTTACTGTGAGACTTGCCTAACGTATATTTCTCACGGCGAGACTGTTATAACGTATAGTTCTTACAGTGAGACTGGCCTGACGTATAGTTCTTACTGTGAGACTTGCCTAACGTATAGTTCTTACAGTGAGACTGGCCTAACGTATAGTTCTTACAGTGAGACTGGCCTAGCGTATAATTCTCACGGCGAGACTGGTCTAACGTATAGCTCTTACAGTGAGACTGGCCTAACGTTTAGTTCTTACTGTGAAACTGGCCTAACGTATAGTTCTTACTGTGAGACTGGCCAACGTATAGTTCTTACTGTGAGACTGGCCTAACGTATAGTTCTTACAGTGAGACTGGCCTAACGTATAGTTCTTACTGTAAACTTGGCTAACGTATAGTTCTTACAGTGAGACTGGCCTAACGTATAGTTCTTACTGTGAGACTGGCCTAACGTATAATTCTCACGGCGAGACTGGTCTAACGTATAGCTCTTACAGTGAGAATGGCCTAACGTATAGTTCTTACTGTGAGACTGGCCTAACGTATAGTTCCTACTGTGAGACTTGCCTTACGTATAGTTCTTACTGTGAGACTGGCCAACGTATAGTTCTTACACTGAGACTGGCCTAACGTATAGTTCTTACAGTGAGACTGGCCTAACGTGTAGTTCTTACTGTGAGACTGGCCTAACGTATAATTCTCACGGCGAGAATGGTCTAACGTTTAGCTCTTACCGTGAGACTGACCTAACGTATAATTCTCACGGCGAGACTGGTCTAACGTATAGCTCTTACCGTGAGACTGGCCTAACGTATAGTTCTTACTGTGAGACTGGCCAACGTATAGTTCTTACTATGTGACTGGCCTAACGTATAGTTCTTACTGTGGGTCTGGCCTAACGTATAATTCTCACGGCGAGACTGGTCTAACGTATAGTTCTTACGGTGAGACTGGTGTAACGTATAATTCTTACGGTGAGACTGGTGTGACGTATAGTTCTGACGGTGAGACGCGTCTGACGTATAGTTCTGACGGTGAGATGGGTCTGACGTCCAGTTCTTACGGTGAGACACATCCAACGAGTTCCGACTATCAAAACTACTGTTTTACTACAATCAATCAACCCACTAAAACATTGTTTAAGAAACAATATTTATTAACAATATATTCAAATAAATGCCAATCTCATTTGGCAATGAATGCAGGTAAATGTACAAAAATGAGATTGACGGTTCTGTAACAGAGAATAGCACCTTCGAGATCAGACGTGGGTAGACTTCGCATTCGCTTTGATTAAATAAGACTTTTACTGACTCAAAAATACGACTTATTGATAATAAATAACATGAACCGTATTGTTTTAATATTGTATAGGGTTATCGCACGGTATCCACACGGTTCCCCATGCCATTTATAGTTCCATGTAGATCCATGTATTGCACCAATTGTTAAGGGGCAGATCTCGTGTCTGTCTTCGCTGGTCACGTTTAGGAACCGACGCAGTTATGTCCCTTGGCGTATTCAGTGATGACAGCGTGACTTCCGCGCCATTGTCATAATGAGTAATCCGTGTTTATCGCCCAGCTCACTAGAGGTGTATGTAAGCCAGCAGCCCTAGGCTAAAGGATGCCAAGACACAACATGCCATTATGAGGTATGTCGTACCTCGGGGCAGGGATGTGCACTTGTCTAGGCCTGGTTTGGACTGGAAAGAAAATAGACAATCTGTATCATCACGACATTTAGAAAGTGCGCAAATAATATATTATTCACATATATAAGTGCACGCAGAGCACGTAAATGGAATATTGTTTATGTAATTGCATCGTAAATGACTAAATCTAGCTGGGATTTCCAGGTTACTGATTATGTATATTGGTGCTGGCCCTCTAGAATTTGTCTGTCAACTCAAGTCAAGAGTACATATACACAAAGCTCCAGGAGAAGAAGTAACGTGGGGAGCTACATACTATTCGGACCATAACAGTGAAGGTTCTCACTATTTGGACCATTACGTATTAATATCAATATTCGGATCAGTAAACCTTTCAGGTTATCACTATTCGAACCATGAATACATTTAGGGATATCACTATTGGGATCAGAAAACGTTTCGGGTTACTTCGGGTTACCACTATTCCTGCCAGTTAACATGTAGGGATGTCAAAATTCGGTCCAGTAAATATTTAGGGATGTCAAAATTCGGTCCAGTAAATATTTAGGAATATCACTATTCGGTCCAGTTAACGTTTAGGGATTGTCACTTTTCGTCGGACCAGTAAACATTTAGGGATGTCACTTTTCGTCGGACCAGTAAACATTTAGGGATGTCACTTTTCGGTCCAGGAAACATTTAGGGATGTCACTATTCGGACGTCATTTAGGGATGTCACTATTCGGACCAGTGAACATTTAGGGATGTCAAAATTCGGTCCAGTAAATATTTAGGGAGTCAAAATTCGGTCCAGTAAATATTTAGGGATGTCAAAATTCGGTCTAGTAAATATTTAGGTATGTCAAAATTCGGTCCAGTAAATATTTAGGAATATCACTATTCCTGCCAGTAAACATTTAGGGATGTCAAAATTCGGTCCAGTAAATATTTAGGAATATCACTATTCGGTCCAGTTAACGTTTAGGGATGTCACTATTCGTCGGACCAGTAAACATTTAGGGATGTCACTTTTCGGACGTCATTTAGGGATGTCAAAATTCGGTCGAGTAAATATTTAGGAATATCACTATTCGGACCAGTGAACATTTAGGGATGTCAAAATTCGGTCCAGTAAATATTTAGGCATGTCAAAATTCGGTCCAGTAAATATTTAGGGATGTCAAAATTCGGTCTAGTAAATATTTAGGAATATCACTATTCGGTCCAGTTAACGTTTAGGGATGTCACTATTCGGACCAGTAAACGTTTAGGGATGTCACTATTCGGACCAGTAAACATTTAGGAATGTCACTATTCGGACGTCATTTAGGGATGTCAAAATTCGGTCCAGTAAATATTTAGGAATATCACTATTCGGACCAGTAAATATTTAGGGATGTCAAAATTCGGTCCAGTAAATATTTAGGGATGTCAAAATTCGGTCCGGGAAACATTTAGGAATGTCACTATTCGGACCAGTAAACGTTTAGGGACGTCACTATTCGGACAAGGAAACATTTAGGAATATCACTTTTCTCTCCAGTAAACGCTTTTCGGACCATGCCCAAGACATCTTGTATCTCTCCTTATTCCCACAGTAGCTTACTTAACGATGTGCGTGGGACTGTACAGCGGATATCCCGTGTTCAAGTAGAAATACTTACAGGCAATAATTAAGTGAGTCAGTTAATCATCGAGTATGGAGTAACGCCAAATATAGATAACACAAATGCGAATGTTATATATTAGATAAGATATACGTACCACGTAGGACAAATCTTGGGACATGAGACCCGTTCCTCCAAATATATTTGATCTTTGACCTTTGACCGGGTCATACACTGGAGAGTTCACGTCAATCACGGTCGCATCCCCGCTGGTGAGGAATCTGCCGGGTGTCCAAGCAGGAGGGGCCGCCATTTCACTGGTGAGGTCAATATCGATCAGGGTGGCGGTAGACATTTGGTTTATTCTGGAAAGAAGATACATGTAGTTACTACAGTAATAGACACGACAATGACATCTATAAACGACAATTTTTAAGAGACAAGATATCGGTATCGGTAACTTCAGATTAACCTTTACCGACAGGATTAAATGGAAGCTGCCAACTGAACACACTGCACGTAATGCCGCCAACCACTGGCCGCTGACAGCAGACATTCACTATTTGTCCGACTAAGTCCGAGTAAAATCAAAACGTGTTAATTTCAAAAGAACGTACACTGTGTTTGGGAGCAACGCATTTTGGAATCAGCTGATCACAAGCATACTAAAATCACCTGTCTGTTTCTGCTCAGTAATCCATCAGTTGTCAGACAATAATTCGCTTACGGTGTTCTTGTTTAATGCAGTGAATTAGACTATCATTGAAAATAGCCTAGCGCTATTTGTATATGTGACGGCTTGTATGGCGAGCGTGTAAACACTCATAGTTTCGTTTTACAGGGATGTAGTTTCGTTTTACAAGGATGTGTTGGTTTATAAATAGTAAGGGGGGTTTTCGCTATTATTTACGACACATCCGTTTGGAGTTAACATAACTGGAAAACACGGGGATCTCGGTAGCTAGGTATTTTCGGGGAGAGGGGAACGTTTCACACATGGTGGCTAGGGTTTACACATGGGTGGGAGGTATTTCACTAACGCCATTTATTTAAACGCCCGTCTAATCCCTCAAGCGAGTGACATTAGGTAACATAGATCGTGATTGTTATTATTCACTGGGTTGTGAATACTGTGGCTTACACAATAACTCTCCCTGGGGTAAAACCTGCCTTTTTTCATGGGGCCAACCGATCGGATCATTCACATTACCATGGTAATTAATAGTTCATTTGACACTATCGTTTTAACTGATATATATTCCCAAATTATCGATATACCATCATTTGAAATGTTGATATATCATTTAATCTGTCCTTGATATGAAGTGAGTGAGTATGGTTTTACGCCGCTTTTAGCAATATTCCAGCAATATCACGGCGGGGGACACCAGGAATGGGCTTCACACATTGTACCAATGTCGGGAATCAAACCCTGGTCGTCGGCGTGACGAGCGAACGCTTTAACCACTAGGGTACCTGACCGCCCGATATCTGTCAGAATTACTGTAAATATGGATAGGTGATTTGACTCAAGCTGTAATTATGATTTCCCGGATGATAACTTTCTCACAATAACAAGCGATTGAGTAAAAAAAATGGATACTCGCAATACCATATACTGAAATATCACATCTGAAATTATGAAATCACGTTAACACAACATTCCAAAAGATTACAAACATACCTTTTTCTGTAAAATATCTGTCCAAGTTTACATAATCTAACACTGACAACGTCTTGACGGTTCAACCTATACACACTGGCTTCAGTATTACAAATGGAGCGAGGTGTGGAAACCCCGTCACAGTAAACTGCGTGACGCAAATCACTCCGTGATAAATAAACCTTTGCGGTAAACCCAGAGTCCGGGATCTAATTATAGCCACACGGCGTGGGTCGTGAGAGGATAGGACTGACGCATGTCGTTGTCATGGTGACATCGACACGTCATCCGTTTTCGCGACAGATACTTTGCTTCCTGTCGTGATGCAAGTGTTGATGCTTACTGGGCGACGCCGTTAATTACATCTTAGAAGAAATGGGATATAATTGATCATCTAGCGTGTCTAATTAATATCAGTCGATACTGTATGGTATTTACCGAGGCGTCCGATAACGTCCCGCATACAAACAAGTGAATCACATCGCACGTGCTGCAAAACACGTGACAACACCATGACATATATGAAAATGAAATCTACATGCGTTATTCGTGTTATCGTATGTGTTAAAGAGTGGAGCTGTAGTCGAAATAAAGGCCACGTCGCTTGTATGTACAAGGTTTATTTCCCGGGAAATTGTTATATATTGTATTGGGACATTTTTGTTTGCGCACCTGTAGATCGTGTGTGTTCATATAAGTGAGTGAGTGGGTATGGTTTTACGCCGCTATTAGCAATATTGCAGCAATATCACGGCGGGGGACACCAGAAATGGGCTTCACACATTGTACCCATGTCGGGAATCGAACCCGAGTCTTCGGCGTGACGAGCGAAACGCTTTAACCACTAGACTACCCGACCGCCCCTCCCTGATTTCATATAAATGAATAATTATTTTTTTACAGTTCTATACAGATAATTAATATATCATTATGCAACTACGAGATTATGGACACAGCTAAACTTACTCAATACTTCATGATCGATGATTATTGGTAATTATAGGTAACATTGCTGTAGCGTATGTAACGTTGCGGCTAATCGCTGACGATTACTTGCACTTGATCGATCAACTACCTGGTTTCATAAGAGTTGGGTCTTCAATGATAAAGCAGGCGTGAGACGCTCGTATCATGAAAAATAGTAGCACCACGATCCAGATGTTGTACACAATCCAAACGTCATATATATCGTGCCATGCGAGGTGAAACAAGCAGAAAAATAATGTTACACATCAATCCAACAACAAATTCAAAATAAATATATACAAATTCATTGGAATATTGAACGTTTTCAAAAGAATGCATGTCACAACTTAACGGATACGTTTAATAAATGAAAAGATTATAAGACGTATCCGTAATGTGATATGCATTTACTATCGGAAACGTTGATAACATTGGAATATGATATCGCTTATCACAACAAAAGTAAATATATATATAAATGTAAGTTACTATTGTGATAGTATCCGTTAATTTGTGGTATGCATTCTTTTGGAAAGAAAAGTTCAATATTCCACCAATGTATTTAACTTTTCCAGTAGAAAATGCATGTCTTAATTTGACGGATACGTGACCCGTGACGTTCCGGGAAAGAATAGGTCTTCAGCAACCCTCGCTTGCCCTAAAAGACGACTATGCTTGTCTTGAGGGCGACTAACGGGTTCGGGTGGTCAGGCTCGCTGACTTGGTTGATGCAGGTCATCGTATAAAAAATTACGTGGATCGATGCTCATGATGTCACTGGATAGTCTGGTCCAAACTTGATTATTTACAGACCGCCGTCAAATAGCAGCAATATTGCTGAGTACGGCGTTATTAAACAACAAACAAATTGTGGTCTGGGGTTGTGGGTAGGTTCTACAAACGATCAGATCTTCAATCGTTTAAATGATTATTATAACGTATCCGTTAATGTGATATCCATTTTCCATCAGAACACTAGAATAATCGATCAGTTACAGTGTAAAATGATATATTTACCTTGTTATCAACGCTTCGGGTTTACAATGTAGACGTCTACTGCTGAGACAGTTTGACTTGTGTCTTAGGGAGTTCAAAATATAGACAGTTCTTCTATGTGTTTTATCCGCTCAGGCTAGGTGTGAGTTTTCAGTGTTAATGCCAAAACGAAAACTGACGTCATCTTTTATACACCCAAGTCTACATTCGCATCACAACACAGGGCGCCCGTACTCCTGTTAATTTGTCTGTTTACATAACATTGCACTGGCTGCTCATTCATAAAGGTAATTGTCAATTTCACATCTCGGTATTAAGACTGAGGTGCCAATCATTGTCACAACAGCGCGTGGTGATAACAGGTTTCAGCTGTGCTTATAACAACAGTGTAAATTGACAATACACACCAAGACAACCAAAATCCTTTAAACCCACAATAAACGGATTAGGATTTAAACATCTAATAGTGTAATAATTTGTAAAAAGAGCTGACAGTTTATTGTGTCAACAGTTAATTATCCTACATGAAAGTTTATGGTTACATGTACAGATTGAATAAATCTATTTTTTTTAAATCTAAGAGTGTAAAATTGAGAATTGAGAACAAAACGCCTGAACACATATTACTATATTGCACACATTACCAGCAACACAGAACAACACTCCAATCCACACTAAACTGCAACAATCAAACGACACTAGCAACGGTACTTAAATGACTTGCAAACATTTAAAAATTAATAAATCAAATACTTAAAAGCTCCAACGACCTAACTAAGGCAGGCAAACAAAAAAACCTTCTTGTGGATACCCGCCCATGAAGGAATATACGGTAATGAAAACGCCGATAAAGCAGCTAAACTATCCCTCAAAATCCCAGAAATTAGCTTAAACTTACCTATCTCAAAATCAGAAATTAAAAGTGTTAACAAGCAAAAAATCACAAAAATGGCATAACCTATATCTAAACTCAAATAGCCAAATCAAAAAAGTGCTCAGCAAACCACTAACCAAACCAAAAATTCTCCATCCATCAAAAACAATCGACAGAGTAATCACTAAACTCCAAACAGGACACACCAACCTAAATAACCACCTAAAAAAAATAAAAAAACACACTACAGGTAACTGCCCACACTGCAAACAACCAGAAACCCCAGAACACGCACTCATCCACTGCACACACTACCTAACACATCGAACCGCATTACAAACCACCCTCAATCTAAACAAGGCTCTCACTCTAGAAGCAATACTAAACCCACAAAATAAACTAGAAAACTTCAAGGCCTTAGGCGTAATCTTAATAAAAACGGAACTAATAAAACGTATCTAAAAACACAATAACCTACCAAATCAAAATCACATAAACAAACAAACATCCACCATACCCAGCTCCCTTAGTTCTCCTCCCCAACCCCATCGGCATCTATTCAAAATCTCAAAATTCCCAAATTCTATATAAGCAACCCCTAAACCCCCCTCTTGGGTTGCACAGACCACTTTCGCCCCTTTCGGAAACACATTAAATGGCCTGGCCGGGCCCGTGTGCGAAATACGCATCAGTCGGAAAGCGCACGTTAAATCTCCAAAGTCAGTAAGTAAGTAAGTTTAAAGCACTAGGCATATATCTAATCAAAACAGGCCTACTTGGCCGCATTTAAAAATTAAAATACAACAAACAATAAACCCAAAAATTCTAAACCTATAAAAACACACAAACTCCCTTTCGTCCACACCCCACAAAATTAGATTATAGTAAATTTATAGTAAGATATGCATATAACATAATATATATTTGTTAATAATAAAATATCTTCGTTTAACCTTTAACAGTCGTTAACGTATTGGGAACTATGTGATAAAATTTATAAATAGTTCTCCTGTAAACTATTGTGGAAATAGCTATTGTTCAAACATCAACATCGCTGCAGACACTTCGACTCCATGATAACACAATTTGGCAGTTAGGAGACCCATAGTTGCCATAATGCTTTTATAAATCTTATAGACCGTAATTTCTGTATATTCTGATAGTACTAGTCTACAAAATGGTGAATGATTTAACGCCTGCTTATCTCTGCAACCTTATCCCAGACAAAGTTAACGCTCGCAGTGATTGCAGCCTTAGAAACTCCCGAGACATCAAATCAATTAGATTAAGACTGAACATTTTGCAAAATCCTTTATACCTAATTCTATAAATTAGGGAATAATATATCTGAAGAAAGTACATATATTAGCTCACGTTCAAATTTCCGAAATGTATTACCATGCACTTACAATTACAAATATTTCTTTAATACAAATTTTAGAACTAAATTCTGTCAAATCATCCACTGCCACTCCCTGTCACTGTTGTACTTGATAACTGACCACCAAGGAATATGCTGTGTACTTGTATGCACATTGACGATCTCTGGATAAATTGATTTTTTATATAGGAAAAGGTATTAAAATAAGAATTGTCTTGTTTACAAATCCATATTTACAGACGAAATAAAAATATATTGTAAAACCAATAATCATACTTTGTCCATTTTGCTTACGTAGTTTAACTTTATTGTGGAAATAGCTATTGTTCAAACAATTCGCATCGTTACATACATCTCGGTTACATGATAACACAATTTGGCAGTTATGAGACCAAAAATTGGCATTATGCTTTTATAAAACCGTAATTACTGTCTTATATTCTAATAGTGCTGGAACATTTATAATTGATTCGAAACTTTCTTCTTATACGACATTTCCGATACATTGTTGTAATAGAAAATTATTTGAATTGAAAGATAGTTGAAAGCGTACGTGGATTTATTGCCCTAACTAAACGATTTATTTCAGTCTGAGTAATTTCAGTCAAGTTATGGCAGCCGAAGAGCCCAGACAGTTGTTTACCAGACCCGACGCTGATGGCAACTTGTATCGCCTGGGGATAGTTACAGGAACTGACATATATATTGCCTGTATTATGAGAATGAGTGCAGGTGATCGTCCCTTGACCCCGGGGCCCATCTGACCTGGTCAAGTGTACAATGTGTATTGGTTATTCTCCCTAAATCACGACGTTCATTCGTTTGTCCATCCGTCCGCTTCTCGAAGAGGACACATTTTCTAAAATACTGTTTAAGTCAGAGACATTTTTTTTTACACACTGTTACTGCTCAAATTGGTGTCGTAAATTCATTTTTGGCTCTTGCTCCGTGCTTTTCAAGTTAC